TAAAGGGACAAAATCTCTGGATGCTCTCTTTTGATCTGCAGCTAGCTCTCCAGGTGCTTGTGATCCTTGACTGCCTTCTGGAGATCTACAGTTTCCCACTGATCATCAACAAAGAGGTATGTCTCATGAAAAGACTCATGCTCCCAAATTACCTCATTTCTTGTTGTCATCTATAAAAATGATAATAGCCAGGCATGGTGGCATGTGCCTGTGGTCCCAGCTACTCTGGAGGCTGGAGTGAGTGGATTAACTGAGTTCAGGAGGTCAAGGCTGCAATGATCTATTATCATGTGACTGCACTCCTACCTAGGCAACAGAGTAAGACCCTATCTCATATATATTTATATATGTAGAATTGTAGAAAACGAGTTTTTGAAACTAAGAAATATATTTACCGACCTACTTCATTTTGCCTTATGCCTTTTTGGGTAATAATGTATCCATAGTTGTATGAGTATTCAGTCAGACTTAATTTTTAACATTTGGATCTCCTGTTAGAATTCAGAGTTTTATGATAATATAATGAACCTCTTTAAAGTATCCGACTTAATTGCAAAAATTAAATATAAAATATAATCATATGTATGAGATATATACATATATATGTATATGTGTATATATGAATGATAACATACATAATAGTGGCAATAAACACTCTGAGTGCTTACTGTGTGCCAGGCAAACACCTGTGATCCGATTAGCTTAATTTAGTTATCACATCACATATATTTACCTTTCTAAAAAAAAAAGTATTAGGATTTTCTATAACTTTCTTGGGAAAAAAATGAGAATGTATTATGCTGATAACACCTGTTAAACTGCTTATGGGTATGTTAGTTTCCTATCACTGTGTAACAAATTGCCACAAACAGTGGCTTTAAAAAACAAAAATGTATTGTCTTACAGTTGTGTACACCAGAAGTCTAAAATGGGTCCCAAAGTATCAGCAGAGTTCTGTTTTCTTGGAGTCTTTAAGCGAGAATTTGTTTCATTTCTTTTCCAGATTCTAGAGGTTGCCTGCATTCCTTGCCTTCTAACCTCCCTTCATCTTCAAAGCTAACTGACTAGTCGACTTTCTCATATTGCATCACTCTGACAATTATTCTTGTCTCTCTCATTCATCTCCTTGTGATTATATTGAAACCACCTGGATATTTGGTCCTAATCTCCTTGTTTTAAGTTAGCTGACTAGCAAACTTAATTTCATCTGCATCCTTAATTTCTTTTTATCATGTAATAGAGAATATTCACAGGTTTGGAAAATTTGGAGGTAGACATCTTTGTGCTTTGTGGGACCGTTATTCTACCTACCACAATGGATATTTCTGCATTTGAGATAATAAACCTCAATCACTTGATGTCCAAGTTTTGAAAAGTTTCCAGACACCTACACTTAACTTCTTTGATTATATTAATTGGCCTCTTCATCTCTACATACAATAGTTTAACTTCATAAAATTCCTCTCTTTTCCTCTTCTTTCTATTTGTAGTTTGAAGACAGGACCTCTTGTTTATTGTAACCTTTATGGCACCTCTTGGCCTTTCCTATTACTGACCTCCCTCAGAATTCCAATCACTATGACAGTTGATGGATTGGATATTTTCCACTCCTTAGACCCTTTAGGCACTAATGAAAGAATTAATTCAACCATTCTTTAATTTATTAAAACATTTATTAAGCACATACAATATATGCAAAGTAGTACATATTTAGGAGTTACAAGGTAAAAATCTTATAGTGCCTTCCATCAGTGAGTTTACTGACCATTCGGAAAGATAGACACACAAATAAAACCTAATTAAAGTGTTGTCACTTCATAAGCTGCAGGAACGTCAGCCAGAACCGTAGATTGTGAATGGTGTTATTAATAGCACCTCTTTCACTCTCTGAAGTGTTCTTGTTTAAATAATAAATTATATTGCCTATGTCAATTGAAACTCTTGACAACAATGTATGACTGTCTCATTTTTATTGTTACCATGAATTGTTACCGAAAGTTTTGTTTTGTCAACCTGACAAGTGATACATGGTTTTTACTGTAAACTTAATATACATTTCACTTATAATTTAGTGTGGGCATGCTTCATATATTATAAACCCGGTTGGATTTCTTATATTTCTCATATTTTGATCTTCCCAAACCTTGTATAATTTTTAAAAATGATTTTTTCTTTTTATTATTGATTTTTGGTAGCTAAATATGTATTGTGTGGATAATTATTTATGATATAAATAGCAATTCTCATTTTCTACTTCTTTTGTTTTTCTCAGGAAACCAAACACCTCATGTTCTCACTCATAAATGGAAGTTGAACAATGAGAACACATGGAAACAAGGAGGGGAACATCACACAGTGGGGTCTGTTGAAGGGTGGGGGGCTAGGGGAGGGATAGCATTAGGAGAAATACCTAATACAGATGACAGGTTGATGGCTGCAGCAAACCACCATGGCACATGTATACCTATATAACAAGCCTGCACATTCTGCACATGTATCCCAGAACTTAAAGTATAATTTTTTTAAAAAAGAAAAAAGCAGAAAAACAAATTTCTAGCCCTAGAAGAAGTTCCCAAGGACAAGTTTTAGGAATTTGAGTGAGAAAAGCTCTTAAAGAAAAGAATACTAATCACCACAAAGGTTATGCAGAGGAATAGTGGTCGGTCAGGTTAATAATTTTAATTTTACAATGTACCAAAAATAAAAATCTGTTTCCATATTCAAGTCTTTGAAACTTCACAAGGAATTAATTAGTTCATTCGTATAACAAAGACACAGTTTATCTTTATGAGGAAATCATAGTTAAAAGTTTGAAGAAGAACCAATAGTGCTTAGCAAAAGGGGTCCAGCTCTTTCCTTGTGGTCCATAATATTATGTTGCTGAGTGTCTGCAGTCAATTGCAAATCATCTCCGTGGAACTGCCCTGAGTTCAGAAAGACTCAGTACTAAGTGTGGGAGAAACCAATCTTGGTTTTTGAGAGTATCGCATATTGACTTTATTCACCTGAATTAAACATAAAACTTAAAAATGAATATGCATTCTGATGTTGACTTAAAAGGAAAGACATCAAGTCTTCGTGTGGGACTTGTTCCCACTGCAGTCAGAGACAGACGCTTCCCCCAGAGTTGATTACCTGGAGTTAATTTAGATTCACAGACATTGGTTGATTCCAATTGTAGAAAATGAGTTTTTGAAACTAAGAAATATATTTACTGACCTACTACTTTTTTTACCTTATATCTTGGGTAATAATGTATTCATAGCTATATGAGTATTCGGTGAGAGTTAATGTTTAGCATTTGGACCTCCTGTTAGACTTCAGAGTATTATAATGATGTAATGAACCTCTTTAAAGTATTAGAGTTAATTGCAAAAAATAAATATAAAATATAATCAAAACACTAAGTAAGGCTGGTCTCAAACTTCTAGCCTCATGTGAGTCTCTTACCTTGACCTCCCAAAGTGCTAGAATTACAGGCATGAGCCACTAGGTTTCTAAAATTTTTAGATGGAACGCTGTCTCCTCTACTTGGAAGACTCCTTCCTCTAGCAGAAATCTGGTATATAAACAAACACTGAAAACGTGGGGAAATCATTCTCTGCTTTCCAACTTGTGTCAAAGCTACATGGGAAATAACTGTCAATGAAGGACAAATATTTCTGCATTTGAAACAGAATAATTTCATGGTTTTTTTTTAAGAGTTTTACCATTAACATAAATACGTATATTTCAAAACGCAGAAGGTAAAAATAATTTTTAATTTTTCTAAGTTCTGATGGTACATTACATCCTTGAGCAATTGAGGAAAGATGAGCCCAGCTGTGTGGGTGGGATGAGAAGCAGGGCCAAGGAGAGGTGTCATGTAAGTTTCGTGTAACTCGGGGGAGGTAGAGAAAAAAGAGCATGCAAAATTAAGTACATATTTCAAAATTAGGTTGACTTTTCCATTATGTACATGTTGGATTGTTCATATTTACCTCATTTTCAGCCCCTTATCCTCTTCCATTCTTGTAGTTCTTATTTCTCAAATTTGAAGAATAGTCTTTCCTCCCTTCAGTCAGGTGTTCAGACGGCTAATAAAGCCAGGCTTCAATAGGAAATTGTGAAATAGAGTAACAGGGAGCAATTAGAGTCACAGTAACAACTGCTGCTGAAAAATTAGTGGAGAAACTGGGTAGGGCCTACAATTGAATAAACTATTCAATGATAACATTTCCAAAAATAGTCTTAGGAAAATGAAAATTAAACGGTTGGAGAAAGCTCCACAAAAGAATGGACAAATGCCAGGTTTTACTCAATTTTTTAACACTACAGCTTAATACTGAATTTAGTATGTACTAAGCATCCAATAAATAATTGCTCAAGAAATCCATGCTTTTTCTATGATTATGTAACTCTATGTATTGAAAATTTCATATTTAATATAAGATAAACACTTCATAAATATTTCTGGAGTTGAATTAATTCTGTAACTTGGACAGGAATACCCAGTTTCCTCTTTTTTTTTTGGTCTAAAGTTAATTGATCACAGGAGATTTTAATTTGTTCATAATCTATGTTAAAGGGATTAGCCTTGAGATTGACTAAATGTTACCAGACAGGGTTTGTTTTGTTTGTTTTTTTAACTTCGCCTCAGTAATCTTTGCAAGATAAGCATTGGGAAATTTGATTTTATGGTTCATCTGAGAATTCTAATGAAGTGCATTGTGCTGGGGTGATGCTGGTGTCACAGGTAGGAAGATGCCTTCTCCCAGTATTGTTAGTTGTTTGCTACTAACGCATATTTGATAGGATACATTGTCAATTCAGTTTCAGAAGTAGTATAAAGTTGTTGAACTAGTTACTGTTATCACTGTTCATCTTGGAACTGAATGTTAAATTGTTGCTAAAATTATCACGCTTCTTGAGAGAGTGACCTTCTGCCTTTGGCCTAGTCTTTTACACTTAATATATATGGGGTGACATTAAATCATTACTATACAGAGATTAGAAAGAGAATATCATGGGGTGCAGAACTCTGTGCTTTGGACTATTATTTATTCTCTTTGCTTATTATATTTATATTCCCATCCCAGAAAACATTGAAGAAACCTGGAAAATAGGGTTCATGAATACTGTGCTAAAAATGACTTCACTTACGGTAATATTTTTTTCTTTGGGGAATGGGGATATCTTCTTACAAGTATGTGTAAATTTTTTTTCAGTTAGTATTTTGGGAAAGACTTTGGTTTTTCTTTTAGAATAAATCAGCCAAATAATATTAATATGTTTAATTTAATTAATCATTAACATGTTTACTTAAATCTGTACAAAGCAGGAGCGAAAATTCTTGCTAAGATTATATCTCTAAAGATAAAGATTATGCATTGTGATAAGAATGAAAGAAATGGTATCGTCTGAAGGAAATATGGGGATTATTAAATCACTTGATTATATTTGGCATTTCTGAAGAAACCCAGTCTCATACATTTTTTTAAAGTTATAGGTATATAATTATTATGTTTTACATTTTGATGTATATTTAGTATCTCTACTGTTTTAATGCTTTTCTCTTTCAAGTAGTTTTTCAAACATTTTGATCTCAAGAACTCTTTACACTCTGAGTTATTGACAATCCCAATAAGCTTTATTATATAGGTACTATTTATCAATATTAACTGATGATGATAATTCCATCACAAATTAACATAAATGATATTTTTAATTAAAAAAACATATTTTTAAAGTAGAAAAAAATTAGTTATGAAAGTGGCATTGTTTTCCATTATTACACTTTTTAATGTCTCTATCGAAGATAGCCAGATTCTCATATTTAGTCTGTTGTGATATCACGTGTCATGTAGCTTCCGGAAACTCAATTGTATACTCATGGGTGAATTAAATTTTTGTAGAAAGTCAGAAAGAGTCATAATACTATGCACACTCCCTGAATGTGTCTCAGAGACCCATAAGCATTGCAAGATCACACTTCGAGATCTGCTGCTTTTATCTACCTCAATCTTAAGTTGCTAGATTTTAGACTATTTTTATGACCACATCAGAAATTGAACTCAAATCTATCATGCTGAAAATACCATGCTCCTTCACTCAAAACGTGCTAGTATCTGGAAGCCTCATAGATAATAGTGTTAACAGAAATCTTTAGGGAGAAAGCAGCAACAGACAATAACTGATCAGAGAAAAGAGAGCAATGCATGGGATATGAGGAAGAGGCTGCCTGCTCTGATACCCAGAAAAGATAACATAGTTCTCAAACTAGATACTTTGAGGCAGCTCTGCTCAAAGTCCAAAGTTTGCTGAATAACCTCAGCCTTTCATTTTTCATATTAATTGCTATTGTCTTGTCTTATTCACTGGACAACAGAGGAAAAGGTTTATGAACAAGGGCCAGCCCTACAGTGACTGCTGTTATGTTCCCTGAATAGTTCACATATTTTTATATTTCAGAGGGACTAATGTTTATTTCCTCAATGTAAGCACATTCAGCAACTGTAAGAATTTGACTTTTACTTTCTCGAATGCAAAATAGCATTATGACATGGTATATCTAAAATAGAATTGATGTTATGCATTGGTTTATATACACATATGTTATATACATACACAATTAGAAAGAAAATATTGAGAAAGAATTATTTTGATGATTATGCTAGTGATCAATCAACTTCCAATTGCTCAAGGGACAACTGTTTTGTTATTGTCATGACTGAGACTAAATTCAATTACTCAAGTGATTCTTGGAGAGAGGCTAATTTTTAAATATATATCAGGGAAGCCAATATTATGGTTCTTGATAAAAATGGTATAGAAAAAAATTAATACTCTGCAGTTACATGCTCAAATTATATAGTATAAGGTAGGAGACAAACGTGAGCTTTAAAAACAATAAGATCTTAGAGAGTCTATCTAATTCTTTAGTGGCTCCTTTTTTTCAACTGCAAAATGAGAAAGCTCATCAGCAGACTACAGAGTTACTATGAGACTGGGAGGACATATATCCCATAACACCACTTAATAATGTCTAGAATGCTACTGATTATTATTTAATAGAGAGGTAGTCAGCATCTATTGCATGAGAGAAGCTGTGAGAGATGAGGAAACAAACATTAAATTAAACTTAATTTAATAAAATTAAATGAAAATAAAATTAGCTGTAGAAGTTAATTTTATAATGACACATTTGCTAAATTGAAAGGATCTTTCAATGCAATTATCATCAACTAGGAATGAATATTTTATCCAAGAATATTTTCTATCGAAGACTGTTTTCAATATATATTGATAGTAATATAGCTAAAATTTATTTAATACTTAATGATGTGCTTACTGTATTTTAATTTCTTTATAAGTATTATTTAACCTTTACAACTACACCTTGAAGGAATCATTATAATTATTTTATAGATGAGGAAAATGAGGTCTAGGGAGTAAGTAAACAAACCAAAGTTATGCGTGTAGTTGATAGAATGAAGAATTATGAATCAAACCCAGATAGTCTAGATTCAGGCTCTGTAATTTTAAATTATTGTGCCAATTTTAAATTTTCAGTAAAATTAGCTCTTTTGCTTGTGTAGCTGTTTGAGTTTTAACAAAGGTGTAGATTCATACAACCACCACCACAATCAAGGTAGGCAACAATCCCTCAAAACCATACTATTCCTTTGTGACAAACATTTCTCCACCCTTAGTCTGTTGTGACCTTTGATCCTCATGATCCTTAGATAAAGATCCACTGATCCTCATATTTCCTTATAGTTTGCCCTTATCAAATAAATGGAATTATGCTGCATATGGCCTTTTGAGTCTGGCTTCGTTCACTTAGTGTATGTTTTTGGAGGTAATCCATATTGTTGAGAGAGAAATATTTAAACTTTTTTTTTTTTTTTTTTTTTTTTGCTATTGGGTCTCACTCTGTCACCCAGGCTGGAGTGCAGCAGCGTGATGTAAGCTCACTGCAACCTCTGCCTCCTAGGCTTAGGTGATCCTTCTGCCTCAGCCTCCCAAATAGCTGGGACCACATGTGTCACCACATGTGGCTAATTTTTTTGTATTTTTGGTAGAAACGGGGTTTCAACATGTTGCTCAAGCTGGTCTCAAATTTCTGAGCTCAATCTATCCTCCTGTCTTGGCCTCTCAAAGTGTTGGGATTACAGACGTGAGCCACTGGACCCAGCCTCAAATAATTTTTAAAGCTATATAATGTCCCATTATACAATGTGACACAGTTTGTCCATTAATAGTCAGTTGAAGGATATTTGAGTTGTTTCCACTTTGGCATGGATATGAATAAGTCTGCTCAAACATTCATACATAGCAAGCTTGTTTAACCTGTGGCTCACGGCAATCCAGGACTGCTTTGAATGTGGCTCAACACAAATTTGTGTTATAGGCCTGATATAGGCTTTTGTGTGAAAAAGTTTTTATTTCTGTTCGTTAAATACCTAGAACTGGATTTGTTGGAACATATTTTAAGTGTATATTTAATTTTCTAGGGCCTGACGGTTTCCCAAGAAGTCTGTATGATTTTGCATTTATAGCACCAATAGATAAATGCTCCACTTGCTCTGCATCCATACCAGTGCTTAGGATTTTCAGGCTTTTTAAAATTGATTTTCTTTGTAAAACATGAGTGGGATATATTTCTATTGTTTCATTTCTGGATTTTCTCCTCCTCTTTTAATCTATCAGTCTATGATTTCATCAATACTATACTGTATTAATTACTGTAGCTTTTCAGTAAGTCTTGAAATCAGGTTTTATGAGTTCTCCAACTGTGTTTTCCACTTTCAAAATAAAGTCATTGAGGTTTTTAAATACATTTGTTGGTTTTCTGTTTTTTTTTTTTTCACTCAATTACCAAGTGGAGGTGTTCAAGGATAATTGTGAATCATCATTTCTTCTTTAAATTCCATCAGTTTCTGCCTCATGTATTTTGAGGGTCCTTTAATGGGTACTCATTTTTCATTATTGTCTTTTTGGTAATTTATTTTTATCATTATGTAAGTATGTCTTTATCCTTGGTTATTGTTTTTGGTCTGGAGTTTATTTTGTGTGACGTTATCATAACCACTATAGTTTTCTGTTAATTGTTACTTGCACGTTATGTGTTTTATCCCTTCACTTTTCAGTAGTCTAAATTGTTATATTTAAGATGGATTTCTTGTAGATAGCATATACATCATGCATTGGAGTAGATAACAAATTCTTTTAGAAAATATTTCTCTTTCAACTGATGTTTATATTTGATATAATTTTTGGTATCGTTGGATTTAGTTCTACAGTTGCATCCTTGTATTCTGTTTAACCTCTTCTTATTCCTCTATTTCCTGCCTGCTTTGGATTATATGAATATTTTTTACTATTTCATTTTTATTTTTCCATTACAGTTTTGGCTATTTTTTTCACCTTATTTAAAAAATGACTTTTTCTAGAGATTACAATATGTATTTCTAACTTTTCACCGCTTACATAAACTTAATAATTGACCCCCTTATGTATTAAATAGATCTTTTTCAACCACATAGATGCCTTTACCCTTAATGCTTTATACTATAATTGTCATGTGTAATGTGTGTGTGTGTGTGTGTGTGTGTGTGTGTATGTATTAACCTTTCCAGACATCTTAACACATTTTGCTTTGAAGTTATAAATATTTTAATATTAGAGCAGATTATAGTATATTATATTTACTCAGTTGATCTTTCTTGATTTCTGAAGTTCCAGATTTCTCTGTGGTATTGAGGAAGTTCCTTCAGAATTTCTTTTTAGAACATATCTGCTGGTGATGAATTGTTCTAATTTTCCTTCTTGTGATAATGTCTTTATTTTTTCCTCTTTATTTTGCATTTCTAAAGTATATTTCCATTGTGTATAAAATTCTAGGCTGTCAAGTCTTGTGTGTGTGTGTGTGTGTGTGTGTGTGTGAGAGAGAGAGAGAGAGAGAGAGAGAGAGAGAGAGTGGGTTTTCCTGGGCTGGTCTCGAACTCCTGGGCTCAAGCAATTCATCCACCTCAGCCTCCCAAAGTTTTGGGATTACAGACATGAACTACTATGACTGGCCTATTCTTTTTCTTTATCTTTGTTTTTCAGCAGTTTTATTATTATTTGTCTGAATGTTTTATTTGAGTTTATCCTTTTTGA